GCTCGAGTTACAGTTGTGTCAGGGGGTGACAGGAAGCGTAGTCGCAGGAGTTACGTTGGACATGGGACGACTCGATACTGTCAACCGCCGCCCGCGCTTGTTTGGGAATGTCTTGATATCGCCATATCGAGGTCCGTGGGGTCAGCCCTGCGGACCAGGGTCATATGCGATGGGAGGAATGTACAGGCTGCCCAGGACACCTTCACCCTCGAGAAACAGGGGTGGAGATCGTTGACTTGGATGGGGGCTGCAAATCCCAAATCACTATTGGTCAAATACTGCCCAAGGCATCGACAAGGGCGGTGCAATGATGGGGGTGTGGTGCCTCAAGGGCCCCAGGTACGTACTGCGAGCCGACAGGACGCAGCCAGTGGCATCGAATTATGTCCATGAGAGGACTGGATGGATGCCTTAACATGCAAGGTGGCAGTCATCAGCGGCCGACAAAGAGAGAGTCATCGGGGGAAACCTGCAAATTGTAAGCCATTGCTCGAGCCAAGAACCAAGTGTTGACCGAGAATCAGCCTACTGGTAATGAGGTGCTGTTTGCTTTGTGTTACTCTGCTTTCTTGTGACAGCTTTCCAGAATACCGTGATGCAAGCACAGGCCCGGAATTGTGCCAATGAAGGCTGAGGGAGAGCCCAAAAACGGGGCCGGCGCTTAATTACACGCAGTGCGTCTGTTCTGCTCCTGTGCCCCTGTGCCCCGGCAATCTCCCCTCGGCCGGCCAATTGAGGCGCGGCGCAGCCCCCAGAACAGGCATAGGGCCGTTGACCAACAGGCCCTCCACCGCTTTTGGGGGGTGTGATTGTGTCTTAGACCTCTGTCTAAACTTCTTGCTCCTTGGTACCAACGGCGCACCCAACCCACCCGCACTGCCCTGCTCCCGCCCCAGATCAGGGGAAGACCATCCCTGCACCCGGTGGACTCGAGGAGCCAAAGGCAGTGCCCCTTTCACTCATCCATGTTTCCAAGTTGGGACGACGTGGGAAAAGTACCTACCTTAGATTGGGGGTGGACTACATACCTTACAGACCAACATGGGTCCCCCCCCTTCGCCTTGCAGCCAGGCCCAGTGGCAGAACCCCTGTATGCTTGTATGCCATCCCAACCGCTTGGTTCTCATCGGTGAGAAGCAGTTGCGGCATGCAAGGCCCCAAGAGTGGCCACCCGCAGCACTCCCCGAGTCACCTGCCGGTTCAATGTCGGCCACTTTCCTCTCGGTATCATGGCTAGTTGGTCATTTGCTTGAACCCTCGCCGCGCTGGCCGAGCTCAGGCACTCTAATGCTTGACTCCTGACTCAGAAGGCACCTTCTCTTCATCCCCTCTTGTCTGTCTATAAAGAAGATTGGCCCTCGAGCAAGATTGTTCATTTCAGCACACAACACCAGAGCGACCACTCAGCAGGCTATCGGCCTGTACATCAACCTCTTGTGCTATCTCTTCCGCTCTCAGCTTCTCAGAGACAACTGGTACTCCCGCCCTCTGTGTCTTGGACATCACCATCGTTGTGATTCTCACAGTGCCAACACCCCCCATCCATCCAGACCACCCACCACCGCCACCAAACCTCGAACAACCCGGCCCAACATGTGCCTCTGGGAGAAGGTGACGTACAGCTGCTGCGGCTACAGCAAGCGGCAGAAGATGCAGTACTCGTGCGACTCGTACAGGCGCCACGTCTACGGCCCGTGCAAGTACAGCGACCGATACGACCGCAACCGCGTCGTCTCGGTCTTGGTCGACGACGACTGCCCCGAGTGCCAGGAGCTCTACCAATACGTCAACTACCGGTAGACACGCTCGCTTGGTTTCAACCTAGCGGCCACCAAGAGCGGCGCTGTGACTTTGACCGTCACGATTGTGTACGAATATATCACTGTACGGGAACATCTGATGCTCACAAACTGTTACTGCTGCTCTTGCTGACATCTTTGTCGAACGGTTGCAGTCATCGAGAACATTGTACAGCACCAATGCGCGACTTCGAATTCAAACTTCAATGAGAGGAGGAGCTTGGTGTGTCTCTGACACCAGGCATGGAAAATCTAGGGGTACATACATTCTCTCTACGACAGTACCTCAAGGTTTCATTCAATACCACTGCAAATACACACAGCAAACTATCGTCAAGGGAACGGGGATAGATTTGGACTAGCATCACTGCACACTAGGGCGGACAGGACCGGGTTGGAAAGGTTCGGGTTATTGGGTTTTGCATCTCATGTCATGTTCATTTTTCATACCTTTCAGCATTGGTATCATTTCGTAATCAGCGGTAGATAGAAGACTCTTTGTCAACTCGGTTTGCTCTCTGGATTTTCCGCCCAAGACACTCTTCTCAGGTTCCGTGATCCTCACTGCAGCAGCGTCCAGTCAAGCAAGTTACCGCAGTCTTCCCTGGGTAGCGAACTGCTCCATCCGTAACGGTTTCTCTAAGCCATTGTCCTCCGACCAACAACCGTGTGCCACTTTGGCCCGATCGATCGATGTCCTCAAGGCCAAGTGAATTAGTGAATCCTTTTCCGGCGCAACCGCTTCGGGAAGGAATGGTTCAGCCCTGCGTTTGATCCTCCCGCCGGCTTCGCCGCCCATGGTGTTGCATGTTTGCATCGCGGATAGGGCCAACAAGGTTAAGGCAGGCAGTGCCCCATCGCGAGCCGACGCCACATCGTCGTGCCGGAAGCTGCGGAGGTCCGTCCGGGTCTTGGAGACCAACTCGGTCCTTCTTTCGAGTGCTGCAGCTTTGCAAAAGGAAATCCCGCTTGATACGACGGGCATGACCGAAATCTCGTTTTGGCTTTTTCTTCTGGTCGATGACTGGGACAACATTTCCAACAACAAGACCCGAGATTGCCAAATCCGGTAAGGCGGCCAATCAGCCACCCGGAAGCTCTACCCCAGAGCCAACAGGGGGGTGATGGAGAGGGGGACTGGGTGCCAAAACACCTGCATGACCGCCTGTGCCTCGCCCCCGCGTCGACTTTGCGTTACACCATTGCCAAAGCAGCCGCAGTGTCCCGCAGAACGAGACACAGAATGGCGCGGCCCCAAAGACTTGGAGTTGGAGACGGTTCAAGCATTCACTACCAAGAAACTCGCACTTCCGAAGACGGACTCATCCGGATACGGCGGCCAGCTCGGAAGCCGCATCCGCAATATGCACTGTGAGGCCTGCATGCCAGCGTGTTTGTCTTGCTCAACGGGCCCAGCTGGGGTCGAACCGCAGGGCTCGATTAAGCGCCGAGACGTGGAGATCACCACCAGCTCGCTGCAGAGAATGTGCAGATGACAACATGGAGTCGGAGAGACCGAGACACCGTTCTCCAGAATCCCCAGAAAGCTCCGGACTCGACGTCGAGTGATGAAGTGGACCAACGCAGGGCGTCGTCTAAAAGGATGCCGGAACAGGGAGCCGACACGTCTGGTGCGTGCACATGCTGAATTATGCCGCCAACACAAGACCAGACAGACACAACAAACCTCGACGTCCTGCAGGAACATCATGGATGCCCAGCTGCCGAAGCACGAGAGAACATTCCACAGCTCAGCTGGCACGCACACATGCGCAAGTCACCCCATCTGTCGGCTACGCCATCCGGTCTAGGGCGCGCGACAGGGCTAGCTGAACACAGCAAGAGACTCTAAAATGCGACAGTCGCTTCCTCACCCAGGAAAAGAAACACACACACACACACACACACTCATACACACTACGTTCCAGCTGGCAAGGCTGAGCAAAACCCCTCCTCCCCCCTGGCCACGGCACATCATACTTTGTCCATACCGTAACATTCAACCCCACTCCGCTTCAAATTGGTCCCCCCCGAATGGGGGAATGTGCCGAAATTCCCGATTTAAACTTGGGAGCCCACCGCACCCCTGCCCCGGCAGGCCGGGCCACTCTTAAACGGGCCACCGTCCTGTCTCTTGCGAGTCTGCGACGGGAACACTGCCCAGTCTGCAAGATGGCCCCCACAGATGGGGCGTCGCCCGCCCACCCACGCCGCCCGCAACTTTTTGCACCTCTGTTAGTTGGTTGCGCCGCACTTCATATGGGCCTGCCCGGCGGGTCAACTGACTTTCAATTCCAACCTTAAACTCGACTCGTCTGAGTGCAACACTGCAGTTGGGGCACGGCACACGTACAACGCGGCACGGGGGGATGCTTAGCTTAGCCCGGGGAAGTTGGGAGTTTTTCCCTCGGACTTGCGGACTTGTAGTCTTGACGTCCGTCTGCAAGACAAGAGTCGCTTATTTAGGGTCGAGACCGGTTGGTGGCTTGTTGGTGCCCGCGCTTTTGATTACCTATTTGACGAAAAGAAAAGTGTGATCTGTGACTGTGCCGCTCGTGTGATATCCTGCTCGCTCTACACGCAAGTGGAGGAGATACGCCTTTCGGTTCAATTGTGAACCTCTTCACCGAACGAGAGTCATTTTAATCACCGAGCCCGCACCAATCTTCCATGTGAAATGACAACTCCCCAACCTAAACTCCAGGCATGGCATGGCTGGCCAACACGCAGTAGGCCTCCGAATGCAACGGGCTGGGGAAACAGCACCGAGATTTCAGGTTCGCTGAGACACAAACAGACGGTAGAGGCGAGTGTAACACGGTCAGTCATGCGATGCCGTCAGACCTGATGTCCTCAACTAATGCCATGCACTCGGGCAGTCGGGAGGGCGGTCGGCCGCAAGGACGGGAAGAAAAACCCGTAGAGGCGAGTTCGAGAGCCACTGAAAGTATTGACAGCCTTGGGACCCAAAACGACTGCAATGTATTCGCGGGCCCAGGCATAGCTCCCTTGATCGTATATTGGTCACATCAAGCCTTGATAAGTTGGCGCGCGCAGGCGGCAAAGCAGTGACCATGAGGAATGAGGGAGTTGAACTGGGCCACCCAAGCACTGCAGCATCGCCGCTAGACAACCTAGCCACAAAGAAAAAGGAAGGCCTGAATCAGAAAAAGAGACCGTACTGACGAGAGTACAACGCGCTGGACGGGCTGGGAATCGAACCCAGGACCTTTCGCATACACCTTTTGATACCCTGAGCTACTCGCACAGAGACCCGTACAGGATGCTAAGCGAACGCTCTACCAACTGAGCCACACGCCCGATCTTTTTGTGTCTTGCTGATTCCCTGGGGTCCATTTTGCGGTATTTTACTTTTGGCGTGCTGTGGGTGTGGAGTGTGCAGAAAAAAAAACAAAAAAGGGATTTCCTAGGGAATGTGAAGAGGGCTGGTGTGGGTTTTGAGTGTGGAATGCGGTGGAGCCAAAAAGTGTGTGTGTCGGGTGGGTGGTGCGGAGAAAGGGGCTCCGGAAAACCAGCCAAAAATTTAGATGCTGAGCTTGACCCCGACCCGATTTGAACGGATAACCTTTCGATCTGGAGTCGAACGCGCTACCGTTGCGCCACGAGGCCAGTTGCTTGCTTTGTTGAAGTTGGGGACGTGAATTGGACATCATGAGGAGAAGGGGAGCACATTCACACACACACACACACACACCCCTCTCACCTCGGGGCAAAGGGGAAATGCCAGCAACCCTGGGCGCAGACGCGATATGCACACAGCCTGTGCTGGGCAAGGACGCTGGCATCCTGGCTCGTTGCTGTGAGAAACGGGTTTTGTGAGGGTGCAAAAGAAGATCGTATCGCATTCAGGGGCAAGGGCATTTTTGCAGCGACAGCGCTAACCTACGGTAGCCATGGGTAGTGCAAATGCAGCAGTGACTTTTCGGCACCAGATGTATTCACTCCTATGACGCTCTTGAGCTGATTGATCCTTTTTTGAAGGTGGAGCTTAAGGTTTGGGGATCTGTCACTCCACCCCTGATGACACTGGATTTCCAGTTCACATTTCCCATTCTCCCATCAATCAAAGTAACAAACCTGCATGATTGTTGGCCAACATGACTCCATCGTGCCCTTGCAGTCAAGCAGTTGTGTCGCTTTCTTTCTTAGTTTCAATCATTCCAGCCTCCTCTCCAACAAAATGAAAAAATAAGAATACAACTTCGTTCCTTTTCATAATGTCAACCTCTTTCACAGCTTTTTTTTTCCTATTCGCCTGCTCTTGTGAGTTTTCATTTGCTCTTTCCATCTCAGAGCACCAGGCTTGCTCTCACTTTGACATGTGATTGAGAGAAGGATAATTTAGCATTTGTTCTCTTTGAAATGCACATGTGGCTCATAGTATCATGGAACTGCTTTTGTATATCGAAACACTCTACCACTGCAGAGTATACAGACATTTTCATTCGACTAGACTCCCGCCCCTACACCTTGACAGTCACGGCAAACACGCCCTGGCCGGCGCCGACGTACGCGACGTTGGCGTCCTTAGCGGTGCGGCCAAACGCGCACGACGTCGAACCCGTGACGGAGCCGACGCTCGTGGGCTTGCCGACGGCCGGGTCGACCTCGACGAGCGAGTTCTTGCTGTTGGTGGCGACGTAGATCTTGCCGTTGGGGCCGAAGCACAGGTCGTCGCCCATGAGGTTGGTCCACAGCGTGGTGTAGGCGCCCGCGGGCTTGGCCGTGGCCGGGTCGACGGCGACCTTGTGGAAGCTGTTCTTGAAGATGTTGGTGTACCAGACGACGCCGTCCCTGTACTTGATGCCGTCGATGCCGAACGGGATGCCGCCCGAGGGCGCCATGGTGGCGTCCTGCAGCACGACCGCGTAGGCGCCCGTGTTGACGTCGAGCTTGTACACGGCGCCCTTGCCCGCGTCGGCCACGAGCACCGACGAGTTGTCGAACACGGCCAGCCCGTTGAGGTTGTTGGCCTCGCTGATGGTCTTGATGAGCGACGACTTGGGCGGCGTGCTCGTGAAGTCGACCTTGTAGATGCCCTTGCCGCCGATGACGGCGAACACGTCCGGCGCGTACTCGCCGATGCCCGACAGGCCCGACGCCCCGGTGACGGTGAGCGCCGTGGTGGACGTCTTGGCCACGGGGTCGATGGCGTAGAGCGTCGCCGCGTTCATGTTGGTGGCCAGGATCTGGCCGTTGGACCGGACCGCCACATTCTCGATCGAGTTGAGGCGGACGACCTGGGTCGCGCTCTGCCGGGGGACGATGGCGGCGCCGCTAGCCAGAGAGGCCAGGAGAGGGAGGAGGACGAGCATGTTGATGAACGATCCGAGGCTGGTTGGACTGAATCTGAAGGAAGCACTTGACTCAAAAAGCGATCAAGCAAGACATGTGCCCCAGACGAGAACAAGACAATTAGTAGTCCGACGCCATACCAGAATATGATCCCCACTGCCCTTCTCACGACGAACATGGGCGCCGGCTGGCGGTATAAATAGGGCTTGGCGCCTCACGAGAGATTGGCGTGGCCGCGCCTAAATACTGAGGTCGATGGTGGAGGGCGCTGATTTGGAGCTGTCCCCTGGCCCAGCAATCTGGCTAATCGCAACGCCATCGTGTGTTGGCCAAATGGGGCAACACGGCTCGGCGGCCCTATCCGAGAACGCTATATTCCGGCACCAGTATTGTGGTCCGACTGCGGGGAGTGTTTATTTTCCCTGTCTCAGTCGTGGTTGAGCCAGGGGTAGTGACGCACTCACGCCGGCAGTGAAGAAAAGGGGTGAAGGGCGTCAGGCCCAGCAACCAGGCTGGGACCGACGTAAGTCTTCAGGACTGAAAAACAGAACTAACATTATGAATAGCCATACTGTCCTTTTTGACTGGGATACGCCTCCAGCTCAACATGCCCCTGTCCAGCAAGCTCCTGAGGACCGCCAGCCCACCCCTTCTCCCCCATGGCGCCCTCCACCTCGACCCCGTGTGCAACAACAACAGCATGGTCTCGAGCCCGGGCCAAGCTCGCATCGTAATCATCTGGCGATCCGGTTCCACCACCTGATCTCACCACCGCGGCCGAATGCACCGCGAATCCCTGCCCAGCCCCCTCCTCCTCTGCACGACGACGCCTCCGCCTGCGTCCCAGCCAGAACCCGAACCCAGCAAACAGCCCTGCCACGGCAAGACACCCGATGACCACGCCAGCAATCCACGCGAGAGACTGCGAGTGCTCCGGCTCTCCTGACGTGTCTCCGCCCGTGCTACTCTCCGCAGGCGCGCCCGCACCGCCCGCTGTGCTGGCCGCCCCCGTCGCCGTGCCCGTCGCAGAATCAACCGGGGAGGCTGTTGTCATGGTCATGGACAGAGGCAGGCTCCGGTAGACGGTGCTGGCGCTCCAGGCGTTGGCGCAGCCCTGCACGACCCAGCTGTCGGTCGCCGACGGGTAGCTGCCGTACACGGTCATGGTGTAGCAGGTGCGGCGGGGCTCGCACTCCCACGTGCCGCCCAGGCGGTTGGTCGGCGTGCCCTTTGCGCAGGCCGTGGGGAAGTTGCAGTTGCCGCCGATGCTGCAGCAGCCTGCGAACGTGCTGGAGTGGGCGAAGATGGAGCTGGGGCTGCAGCTGAGCGTTTCGACTGTTTATTGTTTTAGCATTGGAAGGGGGTTGCAGGGACTAAAGAAGAGTAGTAGCGTACTGGCCCCGGTTGGGTTGAGATAGAGACCCTGGAAGTTGGCTGGGCCATCTGTCGCTGCGGTCTGTGCCAGGGCGATGCCGGCGAAGCATTGCATCAACGCCGCCAAGCAAACAAATACCTGACCGGAACGAAGCATCGTCGGAGCCGCCATGATTCCTGGTCAGCTCTCGGACCGGAGTGCTTGCTGCACTCAAGGTACCCAGGTTCGGGATCCGCCAGTTTACCCTGGCATGTTCTAGAGGTGAACACAATCAGGGAGTACGCCGAAGGAAGTGAACTAAAAAAGCGTGAGAGCACAGGATTGGCAGTGGAGTAGAAGGATGAGCGAACAATGGAGAACTTGAGCTGTTTAACCATTCCAGCTCTTTTCCAGGGTAGCATATTTAGCGCCTTGGTCAGGAGGCGGCACCTCGCAGAGGCGTGTATCTGTCAACGGACCGAGGACACATGCAGCAGGTCCTCCGAGAGGCACAGGTCGGAGTGTGGAACCGTCTGGTGCTCCGCTGCGCCCGGGCAGTGTAACTCTATCGAGCCCACAGAGCCTACCAAGCGTGTATCGCGTACGGCGCAGCACGGTTGGGGTGGGACCAGATCCTTGCAGTGAAGATCGTCCATCTGCACCATGCCGCCAATCCCGAGGTCGAATTGTGGCGGGGAAAAAGGATTCGCCCGCTATTCGGGGTGTTATCAGCTTCCCTCGTCTTGCATCTCAAGCCAGGCGACGCTGGCCCAATCCCGGCACTCAATTCTTGTGTCTCTGGGTGGACATGACATCAGAGTCCAATCTGTGAGACCAGCTCGCCGGTCTTGAATTCGTGCAACGGCGGCACAAGGCCAACATGTGTTCCCAGTGGACTGGTTCTCAAAGCATCCCTTTCGGGACATCCCAGCAGACACGCGCTACATTGACGCGTCCCAGATGACCGAGATCAATAACCAAGCACCTTTGTGTCTTTGTCACCCTTCCTCGTCGTTGGTTCTTTTGTACCCTGTCATTTTCAAGCCCTTGGCGAGGACCATCAACACAACGCAGTGTCCCAGGCCACTCGCAACAAAAATCCTTCACTACAACCCATCACACTGCAGAGTCCAACGGCAACACCCCGTACATACCTGTACTCTGTAGACCAGAAATGCTAAACTGTGGTAACCCCCCGCGCCCGGCGCCGGCTCGGCCGCCTACCCAATCAGGCAACACCCCCGATCTCAGAGCTCCCTTCCCGTTGCTGATCTCCCGGACACCGTCCCGAAAGCCGGCCTCCCGCCCGTCAAGGACCCTCTTCAGAGTGTCTAACCAGGAAACAAGACTGCAGGGCTCTCAGCACGAGGGGGGGGGAAGGGGGGGATAGAGTCCGTACTCATCAATGATAGCGGACGGGTTCCATGTTTGACGATTAATTGGTCCTGTAGATAAGTAAGGTAAAGTAAGGTAACTCACACCATCAGCGGCAATGTTTCTGGGTCACGCTAACCTCGAGCTTCAAGTTAACGTGAGGACAGTGCAACTTCAAGACGACGATGAGAGGCGGTCGGCAGGTACTGTAGATCGTCCCCGAGTTCTGTTGGGGTAGGTATGCAGCATGTGTCTCCCTCACTCAATACGAAAAAGG